TCATTTTGACTAAATTGTTTTCACACATATGATCATCCTAATCCATCCATTCCTCATACATGCCCAAATGAATTTATAGGTGACTCTGACTATCACCAAGAGATTATTTCTCACCTAACTTTCTGTAGGTGAACCATTAGGCCAATGTGTTCTATCTCACTTCAAAACTATGAATTCCCCTAATTATGCGTAACCGGGCTGTTGTTGACTCCTAATCTCATCCTTGCAAACACTAAAGAGTTGTCAAACTGCTTGAATTTTTTAGAGTATAGTCCCCTAATATTGCTACACCATGGGTCCCCTGGTGTTAGCTAATCCATATAGTTTTTCATGCATATCTCTTCTATACAAAGTGAACTCCTACCCTCTCTAATGCAAATGATGTAAATATATGCATACCATTTTCTTTATATATATATATATATATATGTATATGAAATAATAGTTCACTTCTAAAACCACTTTCACAATTTATTCATTTTGTAAATAAATTTCTTTTTGATACAAAATCATGTAAATTTACAAATCATGCCAACAATTAAAATCACACTCATACCATGCGCATTCACTTATAATCAGTTAATCTAACTAACAGGCAGAATGAATTATTTGGTTATCTCAACACTTTTATTACTATAAAAGTTATCCATAGTTCTTTTCACCCTATTAGCTTGCTCTTGTTCAATTCACACCAATCACCTCAATCTACACAAATTAGCATTATAAATCAATTATTAAATTGACCAAAAATACTAATTAACATGATTAACCATTAATAATTATCTAATCACTTTCCTATAACTACATTAGGTCCTAACCATGCTACATAAACCTTCTACCACTTCCATTAGCTTCTTTTCAACCATACACACATTATTACTCCTTTAAACTTCATAATTTAGGTTAAATTGAGCTTATAGCTTCAAATTTTAATTGTTACTTTCCAAACCAATCACAAAACCTTATTTTAACCCCTATAAACCTTTTTATTATCAAAGGGTAAAAAAAATCCTTTAAAACTCCTTGATTTAATTTCTTTATATCCTAAACTAAGAGAAACTAGGGTGATATAAAACTTATCCAATAAGCGACTTGTGGGAACTATCTCTTAATTCTCCAAGATCTCTTGCCCTAGCAAAGCAGAGCTTCTCCTCTATAAAACCCCTTAGTACTAAACTCAATGAACTAATAAAAATCATGATAATCGAAGGATTAACCCATTTAGGAGATTACCAAGTTTTAGTTTTCAAAATAAGGGATCCCAAGTTTTCCTAAGTTAAAAATATATTCAAATCATTCTTTGACTTATCAATCAGATTAAAAACAAGTTACAGAAGTATGGGATTTCTCTGAAGAGTGAAAGAAATTGAAAATAGTTAAAAAACGACATGCTTGTTATGAGACAAGGCAATGCGCTGAGGCTTGTGCACATTGCGTCGCGGAATGTTTCTCTCTATGCCACGTGCTGCGGCTCAAGTGCCAATGTGCCGCAACATGGTGCACATTAATAACAGCAAATTCTGGTGTCATTTTATAATAGAATTGGGGAACTTTGAATACATCCTGATTCTCCATCTGATGTCCAAATGCCATGATCTAGGTGTTTATGGAAAGGTCTTTTCATAAACTAGCTAATGGCATAAGTTTCATTTTTAAAACAAGTCACACCAAGAAGTTGAATACCCAAATCCATTTTGACTACTTTTCACAATTTTTCACAACAAAGGGTGTCCAAAATCCAAAACAAGTGCCAAAAGCCTTTCATAATTCTCGAATATGTCCATTGGACCTAGGACTATTAGTACAACATATCATGCAGACTCAATTAATAATATAACACAAAATTACTCATCAATCCCTTTTTCACCAAAAACAAAAAGGGGAGGTAATTTGCCTTGCATTACATCAAAACTAATCACAACATGCTCAAAACATCACTTCTACATTTGCACTAGTATTTTGGCCTTATCAACACATATCTCATCATACACAAATACTTAGAGCTTAAAATACAATTTAGATATTTGCAACAATATGCAACCTAAAATTGGCAATAATATTCTGCTACACAAAATAAATATAATCTAGAGACATACAATAAAAATGAAGTAATTCCTAGCCTCTTAAGCCTTCTCCCTCTCTACACTAGAACTAAAGCCTGTAAAATATTAAATGAAAAGGGTAAGTCTAGCTACTTAGTAACTAAGGTAAAACCTAACCTATGCAGTTATATATTAATTGTAACCATACACATGCATATGAAACCAAGTTTTTAAGACATGCTTAAGCACATTTCATAACTTATTAATCCACTTAACACATTTTTATCTCACACATGCTTGGTACATAATTACAAAATACTTAAACATATGACTATGACCCAATATATCACACGACTTGCCACAACTCAAAATATGTAACACGTTATAAATTTACATAGACAATGATCAACCAACATTATACCCTCTTTATTTCCTTTGACTGAAACTGTGGACTATAACACTGAATAGGGCTCCATCCATGTGACTAGACTACCCAAACTCACCAATCGTAAGGTGTAACTTGGTCAAAAATCATAAGACTCACTCTCAAACCACAGCTTCCCCTACTCTTGAATCTCTAGGATGTTGTATTCCCTAAGTTATTCTCCTCAATAAATTGGTAGAGAAAACTAGGTTCTAATCCCTCAACAAATTATGGAATAGTCCCTCGACAAATTGTGGGATAAGTCTATACCCTCGTGCACTAGAGGGTAGCCTAAATACCATATGGATTTTAACTATTTCCAATCCCTAGTAGAACTCCTGCTAACTGATCATACCATGTATAATGCCTACTTATTTTTACAAATCTCATTTCCTCAACATTATTTTCACTTTCAAGTGTAACATCTCACCACACCCTCTAAGGTTTTTTGCTCTACTTAGGCTCACCACTACCTCATTAGTCTAGTGATGCTATAGCCTAACATGATATTATATTACCCATTTTCACATACAATTACTACTTTATTCTCATTGTCACAACATTCTATTTCTTCATTAATCCACATTTACCTCAACTTAATATCACATTCATCTTTCCAAAAGTATATGCATGCTCATAGTTTGAAAACTATCTTAATTTCACATTTGCAATACAAGTTAGATATAACATCATGCACGTTCATATTTTCAAAACATAGATCAAAAGTATTAATATGTTTTCACATTAAAATCAACTCATGCATGTAACAATCCACATTATCCACAATTAACAATCAATTGATATATAACTACCTAAAATAGGGTTTTGTCGGTTACCTCAAACTTTTAAGAGGTCAAAGGTTTACCCCTCAATATTATAATTTCCGAGCTTGAATTCCCAAGCTAAATTGATGTCCCAAGAGTTCAATTGCTAATTCTCTAACTCATCAACATTGCCAAAAACACACATTTCAACTCTCATCTCTACTTCCAAATTACCCAATGCTCACTTTGTCTAAGTTTGGGCCTACCCATTGGTAAGTCATTAAACTTTCATTAATGCCATCACACTCTTCCAATAACCCTCATTAATGTCATTTTTGCATAATAATGAGGCCTAACCACCAAAAGTACCAAAATCAAATATATCTAGGTTTAGATACTATAATCTACTCCCATTAGCTCCATTTGAATCAATGGATTCGGACCCATAACTTATATGAACTGAAAATCATCTTCCACTATCAAACCTTAACTATAAACTCATAAATATGAAAGAAATATGAGGAATGGGGTTTAGGGTACTTACCTTAAGTGTTTAATAGCTTCAAAATGTCCTAAATATCCTCTAAAGATGAACCTTAGCCGATTTTTCTATTAGTTCTTCGTTTCCTCTTTTCTTCTTTCTGTTTTTTTGCCTTAATTTAGGACTGATAAATTGTAAAAAATGGCCATGTGCCGCGACGAACACTGAATGCGTCGTGGCGCATGGCATAGAGAGGTTCCCTTCTCACATCAATTGTGTCCATGTGCCGCAGCATCTGGCACAGTAAAACTAAATCTTTATTTTCTTTTTCTTTTGATGCTCGGGTGGACCGACTTCATACCAAACCCACAATTAGGGCTGAAACACAATCGAAACTAGTCATTAGACTTCCTTAGCCATACACCACTATAATTTGCTTAATTACTATAATTAAGCTTAATAAATTAGGGGATTAAAAATTAAGATGTTACATCCTCCCTCTCTTTCATGTTCCTCCTCCCTTTTTCCTTCTCTCCTCTCGTCTGATCCATGACACATATGTCACAACGCATGGCACAATGAGAAACTTCCCACTATAGCTCACACACTTCATGCCAAATTGCCATTCTTTCATTCAATCTTAATCATTCAACATTCTAACATGTCCAAATATCAATTTACCATCCAAAATCTTGATTTTTCAATTAATTTACTAATTTAATAATTTATTTCTAATTAATAATTAGTTTCTGAATTAGAAATTTGAAATGTTATATCAACAACTTGTTATAGTTAAGAAGGGGGAGGGTTGGAAAAAAAATTGAACTACTATATTTTTTCCTTGTATTTAGAACTAAATAGGGATTAAAATTTTACTTATAATTAAGACCATATGGAGTACAAGTTATAAAATTTATAACATCAAGAGATTTTTTCCCCCAATAATAACATTAAAAAAATACCACATTATAAACATAAGAAAGATAGCTATAGTTGTAATAAACAATGTCCAGAGAAGGTACATTATTTATAACCCAAATAGTATAATCATGTTATTCAATATTGATTTTCTTTGATAACCTTTGAAAATTTTTAAATTACAATATTTTTAATCATCAATTTGTTAGACTTTCAGTTCAGACGTCTCTTTATTTATTTATTTATTTTTAACTTACTTTGCTTTATTGGTTTCTCTCCCCCGAGAGAAGCAAGGGATCGAATTTAAGTAACTTCCTTTTCTACATAAAAATATCAAATATGGCCACAGTCTGCATAGATGGGTGGGCCAATTTTACAATAACAGAAATTACAATTACATATATTACATATCCATACAAAAATTTGGACCGTACAAATGGTAGCCGAATCACAAGAGCGCTACAATTTTTATGATAATATGACTATCGTATCACATAATATCAACCCCATTTATTTTATTTTATTCTTTTTCTTTAGAAGAACTAAGTGACAAACAAAAGGGGTTTGGTAAAGATATCTAAGTACAGAAAAGAATGAAGAACAAAAAGACACTACCAAGAGCAAAACGACACATATTACAACAACAAATACGTGGTACTCCCATGACTTTTTATTAATTAGTTGAATAATTCCCAATTGAACCTGGGAAGAACCGAATTACTATTGGTTGTGGTGGTTCTGGTGGCTGACGTGGAAGCAGGTGGTGACGTGGCAAGGATTAATGGTGAGGGGGCAGAGTCAAATGTCTCCCAATTGGTGGTGACCACAACTCCTCCAGCGTTTGAATACCGTTGTGGTTGCTCTTCAACAATTGGGGCAAGACTTTGCTTTTGCTGGGTATTATGCTTGTGACCTGCGTTCTTGTGTGGCATTGAGTTCTTGATTTTCAGCATATCCAGTGTTTCCACGTATTTCTGAACTCTTCTCACCTGTACATCATTATAATTTATTACCATTATAATACTGACTTCGAAAGTGAACCTGTATTTGGTACCAAATCTAAAATAGAATACGCTTTTTTTTTTTTAAATAGAAAAGAAGCAAAGCAACCCCAACAAAGCAGGATTACATCAACCAGGATCAAGAGAGGACTTCCTCTCTTCATCCACCTCCTTGACAAGTAAGGTGGAAGTTGATCAAAAATAATTCAAACACCTAAGTGATCCTGAGCATTAATAGCTAAAAAATGGGCACAAAAATTAGCCTCCTAAAATACGCTTGACTCATGAATAGTGTGACTTTTTACAAATTTTATATTGTATATACTTATGTGAAAAAGTAATAAATAGGCCTCTAATTTTTCCTAATTTAAAATTATTAGATCCATGTTATTTATTTTTTATCAAACTTTTATAATTTTGAAATATTAATTTCTAAAAATTAAATTATTAATGAATGATAAACTTTTTCAAAACAAGAATACTTTTAAAGTTTATAAAAATTTTGATTTAATATTTTTGGCTAAAAAGGAAAAAATTTTGATTTAATACAATGTTTATATTTTTATTAATTTGCATTACACTCTCTCATAATCAATAAGTTTAAATGGAAGTAATATTGGGAAAACATAATATACATATCCCATAGTGTATCTTATTTTATAATTAAAAAATACTTCTAAAAGGTATTCTATAATAGGGATAGGAGGGACTACTTTTTAAGCTTTTAAATAAAAATTATAAATGTAACTTTTTTCTATATATTCCTAATTGATTTTTATTGTTTTCCATTATTATTTTTTTATTCAATTATTTTAAATAAGTGGCCGACATAGCCTGGTTTGAGACCAACCGGATATAGCAAGAGGACAGGGCCTAACAAGCTGCTGGGTTTGTTGAACACTCCTTTTGAAAACATTTAAAACCAAATCAAATTAAGACAAAATATTATGTCTGGCATGCCAAAAAAAGAAAAAATAAAGAGAAAAGGGAAAGTAGGTCTAAAAAATGTGGTAGATATATTTTTCATTTCTTTAATACCTTTTTTTAAAATACTTTTCTAGCTCTCAAACATTACATAATAATTTGTTATTGTTTTGGTTGAACTGAAAAATCTAATCAATAATGACAAGAACTCAGACTCATTGGTCAGTTTGAAAGGTAAATAAAAATTTACCTGCATTTTTCTCTGCAATTTAACATCTCCATCAGCCATTATAGCATCCAATTTAAGCAATTGATTCATAAACTGCTCAATCAGACTAATCACATCCGATTCAGCAACTTTCTTCCCTTTACTGATAATCGATTCAAGAGCACCCACCTAAGCCAATTAGTCTCACAATTAATCACTAATCAGATTCCATAATTAATCAATTCCATAATCAATCACTAACCAGATTCAGATTCAATACCTGGCCTGCGAGTCTATCAACTTCCAAGCTGATCTGTGATATGCATTTTGCAGCTTTCTCCATGTTGGCATTTTTCCTCATCTCTAAGTATCTCTTTTCTTTACTAATTGGATCTTCCTCTAACACTATCTTGGACTTGTCCTTCACTCCTACTATGTCAAGGAACGTTTTTGAATCTCTCTCCTTGTTTTTGTACAACAGTTTCTGGTCTTGGTGGTGCAACCCAGTAGGCCCAGATAGCATTTTCTTCAATTCCCCTGTAAATTAATAATAATAATAATAATCCCATAAAAAACAATAAATAAGTGTTTTATAAACAAAAGTAACATGAAATAAATAAAGTAAATAAGGCAAGAGTTATTTATTACCAAATGTGGCTTGCGAGCTAATGTTGACTTGATGGTAAGTTGACCCGTATTTAACCCTAACTCTGATTGTCGGTGCCGGCACCGAGTTCCGATCCGCCTCGGCGCTTCGCTTCTGTACCAACATTCCTCCAGGTCTCATTTCCCATTCCGCCGCCGCCGGCGGCTCGCCTGAGATTCCGTTCATCTTCATCATCTTCTTCCTCGCGAGAAACGAAGTGTTTGTGTGAATTGAATTCCAATTTCCAAAGCCAAACGAAGCTTAGAATAATTAGATCTCTCGTTGCCGCGACTGCGAGTCTCAGCGATCTGAGTTTGAACTTGAAGCCGTCCACTCGAACCAATGGCTGTAACAAACTGTTTTAGAAACAGGTGAGTCGCATTACAGAGCTTTTTTACAAGAGACTTTAATCGGTTGCGTCTTGGAGAAGAGAAGACAAATTGGAGCTTATCAATATCCTAATCTTGGAGTTGAAGGCAACCGCATGAGATTGCCGGTCGGTGACCAGAAGAATCGGCTCCGGCGGAGTTTTTCTTTTTTTATTCTTTTCTTTTTTTATTTTCTTCGGAGAAAAGTGACAAAACAGGGGAATGAAAAAGTTGAACCTGCCAAATTTGAGCGCACAGATCTTTCCTCAAAATACGGCCGAATGTGTGCGCGACAGTTTTCTCGCCTAAATCTTTCCCGAGAAAATGAACACCGAGGTGAGAACCTGAACTCCGATAATTCTGAGGAGAGTGCAGATGAATCAACGTGAAGTCAAAAACGAGAGAGAGAGAGAGAGAGAGAGAGAGAGAGAGAATTCCAATGATGCGGAATGTGTCTCTCTCTTCTCTTCCGGAGGACTCGATGAAGAACAGAGGGAGGAAGAAAATGAAAATGAATTAAAAAAAAAAATGAAGAGTTGCCAGCTAAGTCTGCTGGCAGGCTGTGACCTAGATATTTACTTACAATATTAATTAGTTAGAATTATGAATATTTAATTATAATTATCAGTATCAATCATTAATAATATTCTTATCTACCTACACGTAATATAAAAATTTTAATGAGTGGTGGTATTGCCCATTTCACCATCTACATGCAACACACGAAATTCGATATATTTTAATATAATAATCTATCATCAATCCATATACTAATATTGATATCATATGTATAAAATACTTAGTCTGTGTGAACGAATCACACTGTATGCATCACTCAAATACAATGCAACTTTCTGCATCAATACAATATAGATATGTAAACCTGAAGATATCAATATATTTAATTTGTACTAAAAAAATAGGAAAAATATATTATTTGTAGGTCATTAATGTTGTGATTTTTCCCTCATACATAATATGTGTAATTCTAAAAAAAGTGTTGCTAATAAATCATAAATATGAATATATCAATATATAATGTCAATTTTATTGGAAGTTTATTTTTGTTACATTAACAATGTTTAACCCTATGATAACTGTCATAACCAAAAAAATCTAATGATAACTTTTACACCCATTTCATCTTTGCCATATTTTATATACCAGGTCTAAATGGAAATTTATAAGTCTACACATAAATTGTGGCTCACTGTAAGCTTCATATGCGTATAGGATCCATAGTCCAATTAATACTAATTTTTAGTACCAGCCTAATTTATATTAATTTAATTAATTAGTGAAATAATAATCACGGAAAGCGAACAACCAAAGCCGCCAAATAAAAAAAAGAACAAACAAAGAAAGAAGCTGCCAAGAGACTGGAGAAGGGATAAGAAAAACTGAGATAAAAACGAACTGTTGGGATGCCATTCATTAGGTGGAATGCAGCATAGGTAAAAGTTGTGAGTTTATGTTGACACGTATCAATCAGGGGGTACTTTGGGTATTGTGTTCATTTAGTGGGACGCAGATGAGGGTTACGTGGCGAGTTAGTTTGTGGGAAGAGTAGAAATTATAGTTAGGGGAACGGCGTTCTTTTGTGCCGCAAAAGCTTCTTCTGATGTTCTTCTCTTTCGCTGCACTGGTCACACGTGTACTCTCTCTTCCTCGTGACAAAGTTGCACTTCGGTTAATCGGCCTTCTATAATGTGTTATCATTACCTAAGGAAAACTTTTCAAAAGATCTGTTGTTATCAATATATTCACATGCAATGTAGCAATTTTGCTTCACATTTAATGTTTAATTTATTAACAAGTTTTTTTTTTTGGCAATTTCACTCTTCAACTAGAGAATTGAGAATTGAGTCCTTTTTCAATCCAGAGAGAGAGAGAGAGAGGGTTGAGTACTTTTTAGTGTAATGTTTTACTCCGCTCTTTAAAAATGATATAATGTTATTTGGATCTTTAATAAAAATTAACTTAAATTATAATTAAGTGAAAAATTATAAAAAAGAAATTAAAATGACTGAAAAATAATCAAAAATTATAGATAAGAACCTAAAAATTATATAAAAGATTAGACTTTTATGCAATTTTTTTTGTTTTGTGCCATTTTTTAAGGTCATTTTCTAGAATTTTTTTGAATAATATAAAGATCTGTTAATTCAAAAAATGGATACAAGCTACATTAGCTTATAAAATGAGACACAATCTTTTCATCATTCACTGATTCTTGAAAAAAAAGTTTTATTTAATCAAAAGCACACTTGAAATTATCAACAAAATTTAAGGCATGCTAAGAAAGTAAATAAGCACAAAAGTTTGCCTCACAGTACATAAAATTTAATTTTCTAGAATTTTATAGTTAAGTAATGATCAAAATTCACATTTGTTACCGATATGAACAATATTGCATTGTTTTAAAATATTAAAAGAGAACATTACATTAAAAATAAATGTATAGTCTTGGATGTTCTTGGATTTATAATTTAGGGGTAAAAAATTGTCATTTAACCTTTGCAAAAAAAAGAATAAACCTAGAATTTGTAATCCATACAATTCATTTCAAAAATTTAATTTATTAAATACTCTACCTATTATTATCCTTCATAAAATTTAATAAAAAAAATATTTAATATTTTTTTAAAAAATGAATTTGTCTGTTGTCTCCTTCACTTTTAGTTTTAGTACTCTCTACAAATCTTTTTAAAAGAAATAAATAATTGTTTCATTTTTTTTGCCAGAATAAATAATTGTTTCATTCATGCATGCATGCAGGTCGAAGATCTTGATCATTTGAAAGGTACAAAAAGAAATATTTTAAAAAATTAAATTAATGCTTGAGACAATATGTACCATATGTATTCATTTTTTATAATTAGATCTAGAAAAGACTCTCCTTTCTCTTTTGTCAAAAGATCCAAAGGGATTAGTAGATTTAATTTAATTAAGAGATATTTTAAAGATAATTTTTTATATATTTAACTAGTAATTCTTGAGATCCATTATATAAAAATAATTTTTTTATATTAGTAAATTTTTACTAGGTCTAATTATAAAAAATTGAGATCCATTTTTCTTTCAAAAACATCCGTCTTGATAATTTGAAAGATCCAGGGATTAGCATATTTAATTTAATTAAGAATAATTTTAAAAATATTTTTTTATATTTAACTAATAATTCTCTTTATCTCAACCAAGTAATTAACAAGATTTTAGTCAGACAACCGCAGGAACAACATATATCAGACCCTACGCAGGTCTAGATATCCCAGCAAGCCTATAATGACGTGCAACTTTGAAAGTAATTAAAAGGTAGTTTGAGATATATATATATATATATATATATATATATATATATATAACTTAAATCTAGTTCTGTTTTAGTCTCTTACATTGAAGTTTTGGCGTAATGATTAAGAAAAACAATAAATAACTTAACGACAGCAATGTGATTTAACTAAATTTTTGTTATTGTATTTTCTTTTTTTATCAAGTCGAACAATATTACTAGTTAAGAGAAGAATTTGACAGAAAAAAAAGACGAATATTAATTATCACAGTTAAAGTGGAACAAAAATATTTTGCTAAAACGGCAATTGAAATGGGACAGGAGTATTTAGCATGTAGTATTATGAATATATTAACTATACGTTCTTACTGGTGTAATTTTTTTTTTTGCTTTTAGTAATTTTGAAAATTAATGATTTTGGAAATAAAATATTTAAGTATTTAATTTTAGCTTGCAATCTTACTGTAGGTTAATGAATAATCTAATGTAGGAAAATGAACAACTCATCATAATTATAATACTTCAAATAAAATCAAGATTTAGTAATGATATAAATACCTCTTAGAGTCAATGAACAATTTTATATATGTAGGTCAATAAACAATTTCATGTAGAAAAATAAACAACTCATTTTATCATGATGAAAACATTTGGAAGAAAATCAAGATTCAACAATACTATAAGAAACTCCTATAAGTTAACAAATAACTTCATGTAAGGAAATAATTTCAGTACAAAATTAAAGGATATGAGGAACAATGAGATAATTTTATTCTACATTTTAATTTTACTTCAATTCCTCCGGTTTGAAGTGAATTCTCATTAAGTATGATCCAAGAGTTTTAAATAAAATTTTTCAAATTTTAATTTGTTTGTACCAACTTGATAAGAGAAGATGTAACATTTTTTTCAGGATTACCATTAATAGAGTTTTTAAAATATTGACGTAACTCAACTACAGATGAACTCTTTTTTAGACAAAATTGGAATAAAGTTGGTTAATTAAAACAATTAACTAAACCAAGTAGGATTATTCACACGCAATGGTCTCTTTCTCTTTCTTTTTCTTCTTCTTCTTCTTGATGCAATTGTCTCTTTCTACTTTGATGCAATTTCATTTTAGAAGTAACTAAATATTGGAAGCAATTTTTTAGGCCAAACTTAATAGGTTAGCTCAAATGAATTTAAAAAATTTTAAAGTCAGGCATGGGCATGGAAGTTAAAATATTTTTTTTATTGCAAACTTATTTGGGCCACCCGTATAAATTCAAAGAAATTCGGGTGAAGCTTGAAACAGAATGAGTTTAGCTCAAATATGTGAATTATTTATTTATTAGTAATAAAATAGTATTAAATAAGATAAAAATTTAAAAAATATTAATTTTTAAAAAATAAAATTGAAATTAGCTAAAAAAATAAAAATAAAATAAGATTTAATAATTTAAATATTTGGGCCAATCTAAATAAGCCCGAGATATTAATGCAATGCTTGGCTATCTAAACTTTTTTATATTTTAAACTCAATTTGAATAAATTTTTTTAAATTGAACCTGATTAGCTTGAATTACTAGTTTTACTAAATAATCATATGTTCATTTATATAAATGCTTTGCATAGCTTGTCTTGTCTTTGCCTGGATCAAATAGGCAATCAAGGTTTCCTTCCTGCAAATATTTGAGTTGCTTTTTATAGTCATGTTGATTTAAAAGATAATTATTATGGGCCTATTCATCCTTTTACATTAAAATATGTGCTAGCTCTATTGAAATTTTAAGAGACTAGATTTTTGGTAAATATAAGGAAAAAAAAATTAACATGCAGATTCTACTAATTTTTTCAATTTTAAATTAAGTTCTTGTAATTTATTTTGTTGTAATTAATTTCTTATAGTTTGATAAATTAAATTTTTTAATCTCTACAATTCAAAATTATTAATGAATAATTGAGTTTTTTAAAAATTACTATTTTTGAAATTCATAAAAAAATATTTAATACTTTTGGTCAAAATGAGAAAAAATAAAATTTGATTTGATTTAATATTTTACATTTTTATTTAATTTTTTTATAAAATTTCTATATGCATAAAAATTATTTAGAGGACATAAGCCAATTACATAGAAATCTTGAGTTATAAAAATTATGTAATTAATTCTAAAAAGTATATAATTTCTTAATAAAAATATAAAATATTTTAATTTTATTTTTTTAAAATA